AATGATCTGGTATAGAAAAACAAGTGTGTAAATGATCGTGATTCGAACCGCGGCTGTCTGTTTTGGGGCCGCCCGATTGCCGACCGAGATATTATAACATTTTTTTTGCGGCGAAATTTACCGTCATATTCGAATGATATTTTCCATAAATTTTATGAAAATCGCTGGAGCCGTTTCCTAGACTACGATTATATATATAAATATATACATACTTTTATGTATATCTGTCTTTCTGTCTGAATGTTACGCCTTCAGCCTTTTTCTACGCAGACGTAGTCGCGGGCAGCAGCTATTTATAAATAAATTGTGTATACATTGGCCAGTATAAGCAGTGAGGCATCAAAACTCGTTACAAAGTGAGACATGCAATTTATTAGAGACGATCCCTTCAATTGGGTTTCTGATGCTGGACGGAGCGCGCAGTGAGCGTGAACTAATAAACGAGGCAAATAAAGACAAAGTGTCTCAATTATTCCAATCAATCTGTCTTCTCTTAATCGCGCTGAAAGTATCTCGTATGACTGGAAATCAGCACCACACTCTTACTCAAGCGGCGTATGACGTATACACATTTTATTATTAAGTTGTAAATATTATTAGAATTATTGTTTTAACACATTTTTTCTTTTTCTTTATGTAAACATTTTTTTCTCTCTCTGTGTTATTTTTGTAATTTTATAATTTTATTTTTGTGTCGAAGTTTTGTATCATTTTTTATAAGGTGACGTAATAAATGTCTTTGATGTATTCATGCTACAAAATTTTCGTCCCCAACTGACCTTACTTTGCCTGCGGTAGAGATTCTGCTGTAATACGGAAACAACGACTTGTAAGAGATTCTCCTGTAATATAGAAACTTGAACTTTATTATACTAGTAACTCGCCCCTACTTCGCTCCGGTAATACTAATTGTCCAAAACAAATCCGTTGATCAGATCACTACCAAGCTTTTTGGCCTAATCTGTAGATTGCTTGGGTCATCTGTTTTGGAGTCCATAAGAAAGATATACACACACTGAATCATATACATCTTTATATATATCATATAATTCTTCTGTACGTGTGTATGTCACTGAACTCCTCCTAAACGGCTGGACCGATTTTAATGAAATTTTTTGATGTTATTGTACGTTACTTATAAATTTCTTTAGAACACGATTAGTAAAATTTTATTATGTTTTTTTTAAATAATTCCGAAATGCTACAAAAACACATAGAGTAGTCATTGAGTCTAATGTACTTAATTTTTCGTTCGTCCTGTAACTTGTCATAAATAAGATGATCGTATACTCAAATTGCTGATGCTAAAGGCATTTCCTCTAAAATTTTATTGCATGATTTTACTAGAATGTAATTATTAAAAAAGTATCGTACAAATATTGCTACTGTGACGTGATCTTAAAAAAATAATAATAAAAAAGTTACAACCTATACTGACATTAAGTCCTCGTGATAGACGCAGCCTTCCCTAATTTCAGTATGAAGTATCCTCAACATCCCCTCGTCAGAATTTCCAAGATTAATTTTATTTTATAACACGTAAGTATATTGCTTCACTAGCTGGTACCAGCGAATTCGTCTGTGTTGCTTATTATATATGTGCAATGCATAATCAATGAGTTGTGCTTATAAAAATCATTGTTTCTTAAAACTTTAATAACTTTACATTAAATGAAGAAATCACAATATTTTTTTAGGTAAGGACCAAGAGTCTAAAGAATAAAACTTACAATAATTAATTAAAATCCATACATTAGTTTTTTCGTAATGTGCGCACATCTACGGACCTCTATAGTTTCATTAAATAGATAGATACTTCAGAGTTTCGGTTGCGCTTTACACTGGCACAATATAAACAAATATTGCAAGGCATGTTTTAAAAGAATATTAACGGCAATACTGTATAATCAATAATTGTATCACTAAATAAAGAAAAAGATAACAGAACCTGTATAATTAATAATTGTATAATTGTATCACTAAAAAAAGAAAGAGATAACAAAACCGCAGAGTTTTAATGTGTTAATTAGACAAACCTAATTCTGTATGAATCGTATTTGTCAGACATGGTGTCGCTTACACCTTTATGACAATACAAGATGTTTTATTGAATCTCACATCAAAGAACCGTTCGTATTTACTGATCGGTCCATGTTGCGTATTTGCCGTTCCGGCTATTTGCTTATATGACTTACATTAGCCGTGATATGCAGTATTCGAACGTATATCATCGCAATACGGATCAAAATGATCTATGGTTGTGTTGGCTCATTGGTAACGCAGGCAGAATACACTGGAGCACGGTGAAACTCGGCGATAAGTCATATTTGAACGTCTTTGGAGCATGGATAACGTATCCCTAATCGCCTTACACGAGTGGAATGTTTTTGTTGAAAGCTAAGTTGTGCCAGAGTACTTGCCTACCTGATAATAAAAGCTTAACTTGTGAAAGATATGAATTACTTAGCTCGGCCATTAAAGTCATAACATGTACATATTTTTCATGTCGAAAGTATTCTAAAATATTGATCGATTTCTAAAAAAATCTAATCTCATCAAGCTGGGATACAATCAACCCCTAATACCAACGACTTGGAAAATTTTTAACAAGACAATAATTGAAAAAAAATTAAGATTATTTTTTTAGTATTTCGTTTGTTGTATTGAATTGCCGTGACAGTCCAGTGTCTGGGCGATCGCTTTTATACCCAAAAAAAAAAAATGATTTCGAAAACATGTGAAGTCCGCCAATCCGCAGTTGGGCCGCATAGTGGACTCTGCCTATCTAACTCCCTATATAAAGGAGGCCTTTGCCCAGCAGTGGGACATGTATGGGCTGCTACTTACTTTACTTTTTAGTTTTGTCGCTTTGCAACCAACTTCATGTCATGTCGCTATTGGCTGTTTTGAAAAAAAAAATCCTCCAAATATTTCCCAAACGCTCCCATAGAAGTATAACTTCGAAAAGATTTTTTTAAAATCAGTGATCCAGTCCAGCTGATACGCGAGTTCCGTCGCAATAAATGGTGTCTGTGTACAAAATAAATCTTCGATCATTTATTAAATTGAACCGTTGGGAAGTTTTATTAGACCCTATAAATCTATCACGTGGTTCGCCATAAAGTTGTTACAGTTAACGACGACCATAAACGGTGCAATCGATCTGCATTTCGACTTGTAGCGGATCTGATTAAACTGTGGAAGGTTCTATGTAGACAAATATAAATACTGAATTAAATAAATATATGTTTCGGAACGTATTTTCATTGTTATCTCGACTTGATGTAAGCAAAACTAGTACATAGTAAGCAATTATTGACATTAGTTAATAAACATGCATTTCTTTTGTAAATTAATGTATGTATTAGATATATAAACACACAGATGCTGAAAAACACTATGTTGATCAGAAGTTATTTTTCTAGCTGTAGGGATCTAATATACACCATCTAGTGCCAGAGACCAACACTTTTCCCCGCAATCAAGTCGTCAAAAATAATAGCCCATAAAGGTATCGGATGGTATGGCTCAATGATAAAAGATCCCTAATGGAAAATGCTTTGCAAGAATGTCTGGTATACTTATATTGTAATTCTTTAGTATCATGTTTTTATTAACGTTGCATTAAGTCTTAATGATTTTGTGTATTTACCCGAAAACTGCACTTTAATGTTTACACATCATGTTTTCACATCCTAAGCGCGGAGATCAGCAGCATAAAAAAATATTAAAAAAAATTGGCACCATGAAAAAATTAAATCGCAGCCCTTAGATATTTAATACGCCGTTAAAAAGAAGTTAAGGAACAGTTTTTACACGTCACACTGCTGGGCAAGGCAATAAGGTACCTACCATGCGACTCCACTGCGAACTGGCAGACTTCACACATCTTCGAAGTATTGTTTGTTTTATATTTGTAATGTATAAATGTAATGGTTTTCCTTCACCGCCAAGCAAGTGATAATTTACCACTTAAAATTTTATTCAACGATTTAATTGGCACCGGGATTCGAACTCAGGTTGCTCCAGTACAGTAAATGAAAAGAGAGCGTTCGGAAATAAAACGATTACCACCCTAAAATTGTTGAACAGACACGACAAATATAAATTGAATACCTTTTTATTTATTATAATGGCATTTGTGTAGCACTGTTATTTTACTTCTAATTACCTAACATGTTATAATTATTTCCAAACGCCCTCGTGAGTCACCATTACTATTATCCATATTAATATTATAAATGCGAAAGTAACTCTGTCTGTCTCGCTTTCACGCCAAAACTACTGAACCGCTTTAAATGAAATTTGGTACAAAGTTAGTCTAGAGGCTGAGAAAGGACATGGGCTACTTTTTAATTGGAAAAAGGTGTTGTAGAGGGTTGAAAATATCTTTCTTTAAAAAATATATATAGTTTTTAAAGAAAGATATTCATTTAAGGGCTTCAACGAGAGCGAAGCCGCGGGCTAAAAGCTAGTTGCGAATAAAAAGAGATAACCATCGGTGACGTCAGGATTTTATCATAGTAACGTATTATTAAAGTAATTTCAATACAATTTCAATCGTTTACCACTGTCATTGGTATATATTATTTGGGGTTCCGAATACATAAGGTCCCTATTACGGGTCCCTATTATTACTAAGACTCCGCTGTGTCTGTCCATCAGTCTGTCACCAGGCTTTATCTCATGAACCGTGATAGTTGGACAGTTTAAATTATCTCAGACAATGTATTTCTGTTGCCGCTATGACAAAATGTACTAGAAAAAATATTTAAGTGGGGCTCCAATACAACAGACATGATTTTTGCCTTCTTTTAGATAAAGGTACGGAGCCCTTCGTCTCCGAGTCCGACTCACACTTGGCCGCTTTTTGTGTATTCATTCTAAATCATAATTTTTTTGTTTCAGGCACATCGCATCTGCGGCAAGTTCCTGTAGAATAAACATGTGACTAAGAACTTAATATGTAACATCTTAGTGACGTGCCTGAAATATCGATAATGACTTTGTCTCGGTTACAACTAGTGCTGCTCTTCATTGTCCTGAACTACCATGTCGATAGTCAGCAAGAAGTGCTTATCGAGGAGTCGTGTAAGTATATTAATTGTTTTATCCAAACCAAACCCTAGCGCTATTTCACATTTACATAAAACATATTAATAAAATGAAATGTTACGCTGTTTGGTTCTTTTTGTTGAGGAAGCTTACACTCCAGGCGTAATGTAAGAGCTGTATTTAAATTAAGAGCTTTAGTTTAATACATTTTATTAAAATATTACAAAATTATCAGTCTATTTCCTAGTTAATTAATATGGACCCTGGTGAACTTAAGTTTTTGATACATATTCGGATTATCCGAAACTAGTTACATTTTGCTGCCTGAGTTTGCAAAATAACATTATAAAGTAACAAGCAATTAAAACATTTGACACGTAAACTCATTTAAACAGTGAAGGTCGTCCTAATTGTTCTTTGTAACATTTTAAGTCAATTCAAAGTCAATTTTTTCAATCAAATTTTATATTAAAAAGCACATCTGTTTTTGTTTAAAGGTCATATAATCATCGTCATACATATATCTTTATTTTCCACTATACTTGAAATGCACTTATCTTCTGTAATGTAATTCTTAACAAATGCTTACATCGATGGCTCCTACGTAAAGGGGCGTAATTGCCGCTTACGCCTTTTGCCAATTATTAGCGCAATAAGTTTACTTTGCCCTATAAAATGAAATTAAAAAACAAAAAAAAATATTCGTGCTAAATCCAAAATTAAATTTCAGGCGAACAGGCGTATTTGCACAAATTAGTCCCGTATAAAGCCTAAAGCCCTATGGAACGATTAGTCCACGTACGGTGTATAGTAATCGCGTCGTAGATGTGGCGAAAAGGCGGAAGTACCGCTTAAGTCGTTTTACTTATTTGGCGATTTTCTTTTATAATAATTGTGCTCGTGCGTTTTTAGCCAAAATTAATTTATAGCCGTGGGTAAGATTCCACACAGGACAACTATTTTTGTGGCCCACAGATAGTTGTTTCGCATCTGGGTGTTTGTCCGCGTGAAATTTATATTTGTAAAAGGTCCTTACAGCACAGGATAATGTTATCCTGTGTTGTAATCCTTACTTTAGAATGACATTATCCTGCAATCTTATTAAATAAATAAACAAACAAAACAGAAAAGTTGTAAAGCCGGCTAACCCACAACGGAGCGCTTAGCTATATAATTATTCACTATGTTTTATATTTTACTAGCGACCCGCCCCGGATTCGCACGGGTGCAATAAATCACTACATAGTATAAAACAAAGTCGTCCCGGTGTCTGTCTGTCCCTATGTATGCAACAGATATTGAGGCGGATCACTTCACAAGGCCGGTCTTGAACTTAGCTTTTATAGTTATTAAAGTTTTATATTAAACGCTAGGTTTTTGTGTTACAATCAACCGCTTTTAATATTCAGAAAAAGCCCTTGAGACTTTCCCAATTGTCACTCATTGTGGTTTAGCGTAATGCACACAATTTGAGATCCCCGCTTAGCAATCATAGGCTCACAAGTATGACATTATGACGTATGACAGTTTGGCACGAGCAAGCTGACAGCGCGACTGACGGCTAATTGTACCTGACAATCACGTTTCAAAGTTGTGAGTGATGAATGCGCACCCTTGTGTTGTATTAATTTTCGTCAATCAACGCGTCCGCGTGCTCTTTACGGACAACTTAACTGTAGTTGGATTTTTTTTAATGTGACAAGTTGCCAAGTGCGGTTCACTTGTTGTTAAATGAATTACCGCCGCCCATGGACATCTGCCGCACCCAAGGGGCGCAGATGCGTTGACAACCTTTTGAAAATTGGGATCCGGCTACCTCACTCAACAGACGAAACGCGAAAGTATTATACTTCCACTTTACGCCGGTCTTCTGTAAGGTCGTGGTACTTACCCGGACGAGCCTGCCCATTCGTGCAACAGCCGAGGCTGCTGCGTGGCCCTACCACAGTAAAATGATTCCGATGCTCTACCACAGTTAAATGATTTGGATTCGCGCGAGTTCAAAATTTAAAAACTGCTACACATTACTCTGGGTAAGTTGTAGTAAAATAAAATAGAAATATGGCGACTGTAACAGTCTTTGTATTCGATGAATTATCTATTGATGTTTTATACAAATACGAGTTAGATATGACTCTAGCGCATCGAAAATTTACGCGATTTGGTGTCATTAGATTGAAATTCTATGTACTGCTACCTCTTTCCGTATCATACGTTCTATATCATCTGTCACATTCACACAAACCGGAACAATTTTTAAACGCAGCGCAGTATGGACATGCGTCAGCTATATTATAAATAATGGGTATGGTAATTGAAATGGCTTGCGGATTGCGCTTACTCGACTTATTGGTCTCTTGCGGCAGTTAGCTCTTTGATCGACAGATGGCGCTCTACAAACTAAAATGTTATTTGAGCGCCGCGAGGCAATGTAAGGGCCTGCGCTATCCTAGTAGCGCCTTTTCTTATGTAAATCAGTCCAAAATGTTTTACCTCACTCACCAGACGAAACGCAGAAGTAAAACATTTCCACTTCACGCCGGTCTTCTGTGAGGTCGTGGTACTTCCCCGGACGAGCTTGCATATTATTGCAATAGAAAAGACTGTTGCGTGGCCCTACCTCATTCACTAGCGAAGTCAAGAACATGTCGGGCTAGGAAAAGAGCGGTTAGAAATCAAACATTGTATTTCGTAATAAACTTTTAATGTAAAAATAACATTAGACTGGAAAGGTCTTAGGCCCTTACACAGTTACTAGCGTTGGCAATTGAATGTCGGGCTATGAAAAGCTCTGTTGTCCGTTGTATAAATTAACTATTTTGTCGTTAAGAACATTTGATCTTATTCTTTCAATGTAAAGATAAGACAAGATTGGAAAGTTCAAGTAAAATCTTGAACACACTTCAACCAAGTCTGCAGTGTTATTTTATCAGGGAACCAAACTTCGAGGAGAAGCAAAGTTTGGTTCTTCTCTGAGAAGTTAACACCGACTGAGAATCCTCACAAAGTCTGATTCCTTTAAAATTAACCCTGATACTAATTTGATGCAAAGTTCAGCGCTTGCTGGCGTTTCTGAGTACGGCTGTAAGAGTTGGATCGACTGTAAAATCTTGCATGTCTCAAACAAATTTCTATACCAAAAAATTTAATATTTTACTATAACACTTCCGTAACAGAATGACAGAGCCATTAACGATACGAGACTAGAAGGCACAGGTTTCAATACTGGTAGCACAGAAATATTTAACAGAATTTATTTACACGTTTTAAATTTCATCTCGCAATCCGCGCGCAAGCACTCTGCGTACGGACGCTTCAAGCTAAAAGTGTAAAAAAGTTGTTACTTTTATCAAATATTAAAATCGTAAGTTTTAAATGTTTAAACTTTAAATAATGGTTCAATGCAAAAAGTGTAAGCTTTACTTATCATTAACAAAAGATGATATAGTGAAGTGTAAAGGATCGTGTGAGACTGTTTTTCATAAAAAATGTGTACAAAGCAACAAAGCTTTCCTTAAAAACTGTTTATGTGCGGAGTGTGCTAAAAGTGAAGGAAGTCCCAATACACAGAATCTGAGAATAGATGTTGAAGTAGAAAAATCTACAGCAGAATCTGTACTGATGGAGGTAAACAAAAAACTTGAAATATTATATGAGTTGAATAAAAAAATGAAAGATCTAACCGATACAGTTGATTTCTACGCAGAGCAGTATCAAAAGATGCTTGAGTACAAAGAAACTTCCGAAAGAAAGATAAAAGGACTAGAGAATAATATCTTAAACCTAAAGAAGACCAATGAAGCCCTAGAAGAAAGAATTACTTACTTGGAACAAAAGGAGGTTGAAAATGATATTGAAATTGCAGGAATGGAAAGCAGTGAAAATGAGAATACAAATATTATTGTAGAAAAAAATTGCAAACAAATTGAATTTGGATTCAAATGTATAAAAAAATGCAAGGAGGGTAGGCCGAGATAAACCAGCCGCAAGGCGACCTCGGCCTATCATTGTTACGTTAAGTTCTAAAATTCAAAAGGAACAATGGTTAAAGCAAAAAAAAGTTTTACTCACCAACTCTGATATTCTTGGTAATAACAACAAGAACCGAGTATACATCAATGAATGCCTATCAAAACAAATGCGTTTACTATTTTGGAACACAAAAAACACTGTTAAAAGGAAATTATAAATATATATGGGTTCAAAACTCTAAAATATTAGTTAAAAAAGACGACAACGCAAAAATTGTTAACGTACGAACTGATACGGATGTTAACAAACTGTGCGTGACAGGACAGAAGGAGTAAACAAGCGAGCGTTAAGGCGCATGTACACTGGGTGATTTCTGTTTTATATTAAATTCAACGATATACTACAACACTTAGACGGATGTAATATTTCACTTAAAAAATATAATGAGATCGATGCATGGAGTAAGTTTATAAAATCAACAGTAGATGAGTTACATATAGTGCATTTAAATATTCGCTCATTAAGATGTAATTTTAATTCCGTCCTTATACTTCTTAAACAATGTCAATATAATATAGATATTATTGTATTATCTGAGATAAATATCAAACAGGAGGAATTAATGTTATACCAAATAAAAGAATACGATCTTCAGGCCTATACTAGAATCACCAAAAGAGGAGGTGGTCTGTTAATATATGCAAAAAAAGAATTAAATTTAAGCTTACAAAATAGTCTAGGAAGCACCATGGAAATGTTACATTGCAACTTTAAATACAATAAAAATATTATCCACTTAGTAGCGATATACAGGCCACCACATACAAATAAATTACAATTTATAAATGAGTTACATAATTTAATTACACAAATACCGAAAAATATGGATTTAATTGTTGCTGGAGATATGAATCTAAACATTATTACCTATAATACAATAGTCGAGAGTTACAAGAACGCCTTGTGTAACCACGGCCTACAGAGTGCTATCAATGAATGTACGCGGGAAGAAATAAAAACCGGACAGCTGTTTACATCGTGTCTCGATCATATGTGGGTACGTA